TCTCTCTGTCTCTGTCTCTCTGTCTCTCTCTGTCTCTCCCTGTCTCTCTGTCTGTCTCTGTCTCTCTGTCTCTCCCTGTCTCTGTCTCTCTGTCTGTCTCTGTCTCTCTGTCTCTCTCTGTCTCTGTCTCTCTGTCTCTGTCTGTCTGTCTCTGTCTGTCTGTCTGTCTCTCTCTCTGTCTGTCTCTCTCTCCCCCATTTCTGTGGTACTGGCATCAAACACAGAGCCTCACACATGTTAGGCAAGTTCTCTACCACTGAGTCATCCTCTTAGTCCAATAAATGCTCTAATTTAGCAAACTACAGAAGTGTATTGTGAGGGAATTTTTCCTTTCCTTCCCCTAGACTAGCCTTTGGGGGAGGGTGGATATTCCTTCAGCTTTGGCTTAGAAGATTCCTTGGGGTTTCACTCAGATATACGATGCATTAGGATTTGAGATGCCAGTCTGTGGCCCCAGGCACCCAGGACTGCTGGGAGCAGCAGCTCCAGCCTACAGGACCCTCCCCTCCCTCTGAATCTGTCCCTGGATGACCCGTGGTCTTGCTGACCAGCTGGAATGAAGTGGGGGCTCTTGTGCTCTCACATCTTGTGTGACCCTAAGCTTTTCAGTTGAGGAGACATGCTGAGGGAGAGAGTGAAGTCACACAGGTGAAGTCAGCTCCAGCTGTGGTGGCCAGCTAGGGCAAGGGATGAGATTAAGGTAAGCTAGGTCGTGGACAGCAACAGATGCTGCAGAAGAATCCAGAACACAGGAAACTGTGATGTGGTTTTAATCATTTTAGGCCATGCATGCTGATAATGTTCTCATAGGTCAACAGTTTCCATTATTTTCTGACAAAAAATTTGAACTATAATTCAAACTTAAAGTCATGGTTGACTCAAATTTTGTTTGTATTATTATTATCATTGTTGTTGTTGTTTTGGTTTTCGAAACAGGGTTTTTCGGTGTAGCCTTGACTGTCCCAGAATTCACTCTGTAGACCAAGTTGGCTTAGAACTCAAAGATCTACCTGCCTTTGCCTCCTAAGTGCTGGGATTAAAGGTGTGCATCACCACTACCTGGCTTGTTTTGTATTCTATTATCATTATAATTATTATTTTGTCTGTTTGCTTTTCGAGACAGGGTTTCTCTGTGTAACAGCTCTGGCTGTCCTGCAACTCCTTTTGTAGTCCAGGATGGCCTTGAATTCACAGTGATCTGCCTGCCCCTGCCTCCCAAGTGCTAGGATTAAAGGTGTGTGTCACCACAGCCCAACTACTATTATTTTTTCAATTGATTTTTATTTGTGTGTGTGTGTGTGTGTGTGTATTTGCAGGTGTATTATGTGTGTCATGTGTAAGCAGGGCCCTCACAGGCCAAAAGAGGGCATCGGATTCCTCGGACCTAGCGTAATGGCTGACTGTGAGCTGTCATGGGTGCTTGGAAGTGAACACGGGCAGTCGTGTACTTAACCTCTGAGCTATCTCTCCAGCCCTGTTTCTCTCTCTCTCCCCTTGTTGTGCATGAGTGTGGGTACCTACTGAAGTCACAGAAGGGCCTTGGATCCCCTGGAGCTGGAGTTACAAGCAGTTGTGGCTTTGTGTGAGAGTGATGTAATGTTAGTGTAGGTGTGTGAATGTGTGTCTGTGAATATGGAGGTAGACGTTGGTGTCTTGTTCCCACTGGGCTCTACCTTTAGTTTTTGAGGTGGGATCTATTGAGCCTGAGCCACATGTGGGGCTAGCCACCTGTCAAGGATTGATGTCTCCACCCTGCGCCTCTGGAGTCACAGGAAAGTGCCACCACTGTGCCCAGCTTTTTACATGTGCTTGCAAGAACTCTACAGAGCCATCTTCTAGCCCCAAACATTCTAATATAGGCTAACAGGAGAGTGAGGAGAAAGAAAGGCACTCGGGAGAATGGGAAAGCCACCGGACACGTAGGTGTGGTCTTCAAAGGGCATATGGAACAGTAGAGTAAGTATACAAGTGTATACTCAAGGCAAAGCTGCTGTGACATCCTAGCATTAGTGAGTGACACACGTTCCTTTGCTGGCTTCACGATACATCTCAGTAGTTGCTAAGGGCCCCTTCCTCACCTTGTGTGTGTGTGTGTGTGTGTCTGTCTGTCTGTCTGTCTGTCTCCCCTTCCCTGGAGATAAGGGAGATTATAAGGTTGCTCTGGGGATACTTTGGATGGGTTAAACCTGATAAGGTGACTTGGGATCCTGTAGGGCTGCACAGGGGCTTAGGACACATCCCTTCATGTCAACGGGGTTTCTGAGAGATTCCTAGAAACTGCAGGGTCACAGCTGGGAGGGGAAGGCCTGGGAAGTTAGTTTGGGGATCTCCATTTCTTTACTGGCAAGGGTCTTTAACCAGGTTCCTATGTGAGGAGCTCTATTCTTGTCTTGTGTCCCCAAGATTTTCCCCATCTTTCCATCACTCTTCACGTTGACCCTAAAAGGGGGATCATTTACTGAGAACCTGGTTCTCCTGTCCCTAACCTCAGGCCTGGACCACACCCAGCCACTCCAGGGAGCCTCCAGCACTCAGCCTCATCTTTTGCCCTCTGCTCAGCTTAATCTGGTGCCCTTGTAGAATCTGTTCTTATTCTGGGGACTTCGGAGAGGTCTGGGGCTGTGATGAAAGGTCCCATCTGTCTTCCAGCATGTTGTGGCCAGACCCCTATACCTCTGGCCTCTCCCTTACAGTGTGATGGGAACCATTAAGGCCACTCTTGGACCTGGATCAAGAGCAAGTGCAGGCAAACCTGTAATCCCAGCTGCTCTGGAGGCTGAGGCAGGAAGATTATATATGGGGCCCTTCCTGGTACCCTGCTAAATTTATCTAATCCCACTCAAACTCTGCTAGTCTAGCTGCTGTCACTCAAACTAGCAGTTCAGAGTAGGAAATTACTAACAGCCACTCCTGCCTAATGACCTGCATACAGAGATAAGGAGGTTGGTGTCTAATAGAATTTAAAACACAGAAATAAATCCAACCATGCTTTTTGCTATTGTTGAGAAAAGTCAAACCTAGGCCATAGAGGAACAGATAGGCCTCGGATCACAGCCAGGCAATGATGGCACACACCTTTAATCCCAGCACTTGGCAGGCAGAGGCAGGAGGATCTCTGTGAGTTCAAGTCCAGCCTGGTCTACAGAGTGAGCTCCAGGAGAGCCAGGGCTACACAGAGAAACCCTGTCTTGAAAAACCAAAAGAACAAAAACAAGATGCAGCTAGTGGAAGGAAGGGACCTGTAATGGAGTTTTAAAGCTTGGTGGCTTTGTGCTGAAGTCTGGCTTTGCAAAGTCATGAAACAAACCTGCCTTGAGTTTGCTATTCTGGGCCTCCACATTTCTCACAGCTCAAGGTCTGTCTCAACAACTGATGGAGACCTCATCTCAAAATAAAAAGGGAAAAGGAGCTGCAATCCCAGCACTCAGGAGGCCGAGACAGGAGGACCACAGATTTAAGGCCAGCCTGGGCTACATAGTGAGTTCAAGGTCTAGCTTGGGCTACATGGGAAGACTCTGTCTCAAAAAATGAAAAGTAAAAGGAAGGCTGAGCTTTCCTAGTGACTCATAACCACCTGTAACTCCAGTTCCAGGGGGTCTGATGCCGTCTCCTGACCACCACAGGCCCTGGGCACACCCATGGTACACTGACATACATGTAGGGAAAAGCATCACAATAAAATTAAAATAATCTTTTTGGGGGAAGATGAAGTCATCTTTTGTGGGTGCACGTTGAAACAGGGTCTCTCTACAGATCCCTAGCTGTCCTGGAACTCACTCTGTAGATCAGGTTGGCCTCGAACTCAGGGATCCACCTGCCTCTGCCTCTGCTTGGATTATGCCACCAAATAACCGTTTTAAAAAGAAGACCGAGGCTGCACTCACTATTGAAATCCTGCCTGGTGTGTGCATTGCCATTGGTATGACCCCAAGGGGGACCTTTTTCTCAATTTGGGGGGAAAATAAAAAAACTCAAACCAAATGAAATCCAAGTGAGATAGCAGAGAAGGTTTCTGGGTCAATAACTGGGCTGAGTGGCTCCTGAGGCATCCTTCAGGTGGAGGGCAGGTAACTGGGGACTGTTTACTGAAAAGTGTTGAAGGCAATGTCCAGGATTCAAAGGCTGCAGTCAGGTCAAAAGCACAAAGGCTTTTTTTTTTGTGAGCTTTGTTTTTCTTTTCTGTTGCCTTTTATTGTTAACTACACATAAGAATCATACAGGTTTATGGGGTCCAAGGTGCCATTTCAATACATATATGCTCAGCGGGTGGCCAGCATTTCTGTCACCTCAAAGGCTTTTGCTAAAAACCTTCCAGATCTTCTGGGAACTGTTCCCCTTTTGACTCAGGCTCCCTGCTGGGCCTGCCTCCTGAAGAGCTCTGTCTGTTCAGCAACCTCTTCCCATCTTGTCCCTCCATCCTTCCTCCTAGCCTCTGGCTGCCATGTTTCTGTCCTCTCCTGCTACAAGGTCAACTGGTGCAGACATCTTGGGGGGAAAAAGCCTATGGGCCTGTCAGGGGCCAAGGGGTACAAGAGAACACCATAGGCCAAGTCAGAGCCTGAGGGTGGGCCAGGGGGTCAAGTGGGGGATGAGGACAGTGAGACTGGGGTCAGAGAGGGTGGCACAGCTGGTTGGTTTGTGGAGCTCTGTTCCCTGAGTATCAGTCCCAACCATGACCACCGTGTCAGTGCAGCTGTGAGCTCTCTCAGAGACCTTCAGGATGAAGCCTGTGGTGGTCCCCTCAAGAAAGGAGGGCGGAAGGATCTGAGACTCCTCCCTCTTCCTCCTGCAATATAACCCGCTCCAGCTGCTCTTGGTTTGGGGAGTTGCTAGTATGAAGAGGGTTAGACGGTTAGTAACCGGGCCCTCCATTTACACAACCTCTGGAAATTATCATTTATGCTAGGGTGGGACTTTTAGGGTCACTTACATCTTTGTAAGTAACCTCTGATCCACACTTCTGTGGGTCAGTAACTCACTGGATCATCAGACTGGGATTGGATAAGACTGTTCCTTGGTCAGTCATCAATGCCCTATCTGGGATGTGTAGATGTGTGTTCATGCCACCCCAGGAAAAGTCACACAATACGCTACAGGCACACTCAGTAACAAGTGCATCACAGCCAGCACTTTGAGCATCACATAATGTCACCAGTATGTACCCAAGTCCAAGATGTCCTGTTGTTTAGCTTTAACTGTCAACCTGACAACCTAGAATCACTTAGGGAGAAAGCCTCAGTGAGGAATTACCCAGGTCAGGTTAGTTTGTGGGCATGTTTATGAGGGATTGTCTTGATTGTTTATTGACTCAAGAAGACCCAGTCCACTGTGGGCAACACCATTCCCTAGGCACAGAGTTCTGAATAGAATGAGAGGAAAAAACTAGCTGAGAGCAAGCAAGCAGGGATGGATTCGTGCATTTGCTTGATTTCCTTCTCATCCTTCCTTCCTTCCTTCCTTCCTTCCTTCCTTCCTTCCTTCCTTGACTTTGGATATGATGTCACTAGCTTCTTTAATTCCCACCTTGATTTCCCTGAAATGATGGGCTGTGACCTGCAATTGTTAAGTGTTACGTTTTGTCAGAGAATTTCTCACAGCAGCGGAAATGAAAGTAGGATAGATGCCTTCTCAAAGAGATAAGGTGGCTAGAAATAGCCTTTTCCATCCACATGAGAGTCCCCACCTGGAGATACCATTTCCCAGCCAACCTTGCGTGGGACAGGGCCCAAAGCTAGGATCTGTGTCTAAACACATTAAATGAAAAGAAACGTTGCCTCATGTCCCTGTTTAGACTAGGAACACAAGGTGATAGTGGTGAGCCCTTTGGTATAGAGGAAATTGACCCCAATATGGTGCACTACAAGGCCTTTGGGGTCACCCACTGAAGGCTAGCAGGGTGGGAAGGCCTGGCAGGGCTAGCAAGGAGGCCTTAGGTGGGCTGCCTTCAGACCTCATCATTGGTGCACATGGATGGTGTTTCCCTGCCATCCGGCTCAGGCTCGTCCTGAAGTGCCCGCCCAAGCACAGCATCCAGGGACTCCTGCAGCCGGTGGCTCTTCTGGCTGCCCACCAGGAAGTAGATGACTGGGTTGGCGCTGCTGCCCAAACTGGAAGAGAAGCGTGACAAGCAGATATACAGGAGGAGCACCTCCTGTGGCAGTCCCACCCAGTAGAGTAAGAACCAGTAGATGCCTAGGGGCAGAGAACAGGTTAGGAACACGAAGACGGAAGCCAGGATGACTACAAACAGCCGCCGGGGCCGCCGTCTCCGCAGCAGGGTGTTCTTCCGTACCCGGATGACGAGTATGGTGCTAGACAGGATCATGATGGGCATGAAGATCCCCAGGATAAGACTGGTGAAGACCATGTCCACCCAGAAGCACTGACTCTCGTTGGGATGCCAAAACTGGACGCAGAAGAAAGAAGCCAGGAAGTTCATCAGCAGGGCCAGTGCCCAAAGCACACCGCACACCACCGCGGACAGGTGCTTGGGCTGGTGGCACTTATACCAGATGGGGAAGAGCACAGAAAGGCAGCGCTGGGTGCTGATAGCCGTCAGCAGGCTCAGGCCGGCCGTGTAGGCAAAGTACTTGATTCTCTTCATCCCCTCGTAGATTCTGGCAGAGGTGCTGGCTATGAACAGGGGCCTTGTTTCCAGGCTGAGCATGGACGCCATGCACAGCAGGAAGAGGAGGTCGGCCACCGCCAGGTTGAGCACATAAACGCAGAAGGGGGACCTCTGCACACGGAAGCTCATCAGCCAAATCACCAAGCTGTTGCCTGCCATCCCCAAAACACAGGTGACCATGGCAAGAAATGTCACCGAAAAGTAGACCCAGCTCACAGAGTCCATGGTGGGGCTCACTGATGGTCAGACCTGGGGCTGGGCTGCTGTTCAGAGCGTAGTTCATTCCGAAGGAAGGAAAAGGAATCTGTGTTAAATTCTGTGTCACTGGACCATTGGACCCGCGTTAATGCTGAAAATTTTCTTTAGGCATCCCCAGGTTCCCACTGTGGCTGAATCTGTCACAGGACCAGACAGACACTGACCTGATAAATATACTCCTCCTCAGGTTCCACTCTGTCCCAGCCTGAATTTCTTTTTCTTTTGTTGAGACAGGGTCTTGCATAGCCCAAGTTGGCCTCAAACTCCCTATATAACTGAGGATGTGCTTGAATTCCTGATCCTCAGCTTCCCAAGTGCTGGGGTTAAAGCTGTATGTCATCATACCCAGTATAGTATCATTTTTTAAAAAGTTATTTTCATTTTATGTATATGGGTGTTTTGCCTGCATGTATGTATGTGTACCACATGCATGCAGTGCCCTTGGAGGCCAGAAGAGGGCATCGGATCCCCTGGAACTGGAGTTATAGCTGTGAGCCATCATGTGGGTGCTGAGGACCAAACCCAGGCCCTCTGCAAGAGCAGCCAGTGCTCTTAACCATGAACCGTCTCTCCAGCCACCTCTCCCACCTCCTTTTCCTCATCCTCTTCCTTCTCCTAGTTTGGTGTGGCTTTTTTTGTTTTGCTTTTGTTTTTTTTTTTGAGGGGGGTTGGTTTTTTGTTTGTTTGTTTGTTTGTTTGTTTTTGAGACAGGGCATTATGTTGCCCAAGCTGGGCTAGGAGTCCAGCTCCTCTTGCGCCTGCCTCCTGATTGCTGGGGAAGGCAGCCATGTGTCTCTGCACCTCACAGCGACCTGATTTTGTCCCAGGCACCTTTGTCTCCACTCCCGGGTAAAATTGTCATTTTCTTCGCTCCTGCTGCTGCTTTTGTCTGTTGTTATTGTAGTTATAAAACAGATCGGAGGTGTGACTGCCCCTCTGCCTCCAGAGCAACTTGTACCCTGTAAGATCGGCTTTCTTTGAAGGCTTGGCAGAAGGCAAAACCATCTGGCCATTTCTGTGTGTGGGACTGGATGTTCAGAGCTCCAAAACGGAGCTCCAAATCCAACTGTCAGTGTTTCATGTCTGCCCAGGTGCTCATCTCTGCTTGAGTGTCACTGCCTAGAGTGTGTAATTTGTTAGTATAAAAACATTCTTGCCGTCTGGGTTCCCATTTGTTAGTTTAAATTTGCTGTAGTACTTACTGTCTTATATAAGATTTATTGTTCATTTTACTTTTGTATTTGAGTGTGTGAGACATGTCTGTGGGTGCTCACAGAGACCAGAAAGAGGCATCGGATCCTCTCAAACTGGGGTTACAGGTGGTTGTGAGCCACCTGACATGGGCGTGGGATCTCTCAGGTCCTATGCAAGAGCAAACATTGTCTTAACCACAGAGCCATCGCTCCAGCCCCTTCTACTGCTTTATTTTTGAGATTGGACCTCATTATGTAGCCTTGACTGGCTTGGAATTTACTATGTAAATCAGGCTGGCCTCAAACTCACAGGAATCGGCCTGCCTCTGCCTCCTGAGTGCTGGGCTCAGAGGCGTGTGCCACCAACCCAGTGCCTCATAATTGTTAAAACCAGATTTTCTGACACTTTTCTTTATTTGCTTGTTTTCTTTCTTACTTTGGCAGACATTTGTTTTTCAAGAGCTCTTTATAAAATATGTTCTTTTACATTCAGCTGTTTTCTTCGGGGGGGCAGGGTTCTCTCCTTCCACAATGTGGGTGGTCAGGGGCAGGAGGTGGGGGACTCCCCTGCCCAAGGTCATGGTACCAAGGAAAGAAAGGTGCTTTGGAGAGAGAGGAGCCTATGTCTGGACCTGGGCCAACACAGAAAGTTTTTGTTTTATTTTGAGACACGGTCACATGTAGTCCAGGCTGGCCTCAAACTCCCTGTGTAGCTGAAGATGACCTTAAGTTTCCTGTTTTTATTACAGTGTGTGTGTGTGTGTGTGTGTGTGTGTGTGTGTGTGTGTGTGTGTGTACGCAAGTGCTCACACCACATACCTTAGCAAGTATGTGGGGGTCAGAGGGCAATGTGTTGAGATCTGTTCTTTCCTTTGACCATGTAAACCCTGGGGTTGAACTCAAGCTGCCAAGCTTTGCAGCAAGTGCCTTAGTCCTGGAGCCACCCCGCTAGTCCAGCCTCACACTCTCTGTCTGAAGCCGCTTGGTCTGTGGTCACTGTTACAGCAACCACAGGGAGCACATGCTGCAAAAGCAGATCGCCACGTTTGTCACAGCCACACATCTGCGTTGCTGGTGGTTAACCCTGAACTTAGGAGACGGGAGAATGTGCCCTCACTATTGGACCCAGCAACAGGCACAGTGGGAACTTGAGAGTAGATGGGGCCACCCTCAGTGGTCTTCCCTTCCTAGGTCATGCCAGGGCCTGTGCCTGTCATGTGGGGGACACTCAGAATTTGGTTGCTGGAAGCCTGTTGGACTCTTGTGGAACCATGGATCCCTCATCCTTTTGGGGGGCTCTAGGCTAGCTTTGGGGTTCCTTTAAGAACTTTGAACCTGAGGCTTGCTCTCCATTCCCCAGCAGAGCTGAGAAACATCCTGACCCAGGAAAGGGCTGCTCTCCTCCTAGCACAGGGTGAGCACACCTCCAAGAAGACACTCGTGACCAGGGGAAACAGATACTGCTTGTGCTGTGAAAGTGTCACGCATGTCCCTGGGATATGTGCCTTCTGACCTGGGAATGGTCCCTACAGCCCTGTCGCCCGGCTCTGGCAGGCTGATAGCACTGAACTTGCCTTCAAATACGAGTGCCATGTCGTTCATGTGTCTCCATCACCCAGCTGTTGAGCTTCAAATAAATATTTCTGATGTTTTTCCTGGCCTCCTTTCTAGTTGTTATTGTTACACACACACACACACACACACACACACACACACACACACACTTACATACACCTGCACACATTCACACACACACTGTATGCACCACACCCTCACACACATAATCTGCTGAGTCTGTTCAGTGTTGCTTGCATGTAAGTGATTTGGGCTCTGACCATTTGGTATCAGATAACCCATCAGTGGGCTCCTCCCTTGGGCAGACTGCTCTTCCCTCTTTCAGCATCCCTTAGATGCCTGTAGTTCTTTGTCTAGACGTGGGGCCCCGTGAGACTTTCCTTTCCTATGCTAACCTGTCAGCTGATGTTGGCCTTGTTTAGGTCTTCTTTAGGCAGCTATACTGCTGAGGGATGGGTGAAGCTTCCCTGAAAATATTTCTGATTTAAAATTTTCCTGGGCCATAATAAACAAACAAACAAACAAACAAACAGATAAACGCTGAAAGCATTTTCTTGGGCTGGAGCATAACGAATTGGCAGAGCAATTGCCAGCATTCAGGAAGCACTGGGTCCATACTGGGTATGGTGGTACATGCCTGTCATTCCAAAACTTGCAAGCCTGAGGCAGGGGGATCACTAGTTTGAGACTAGCATGGGCTTCCTACACAGTTCCAAGCCATGGGCTGGAGAGATGGCTCGATTGTTAAAGGCTAGGCTCACAACAAAAACCGGAGTTCCAGGCTTGGGTAACAAAGCCCAGGTCCCAAAGAATAAAACAAAATAAAATAAAATACCAAAGAAAAGAGACACGAGGAAAGGAAGTAAAAAGTGAAGAGAAAGAGAAGAGGCTGGACATGTTGCTCGGTGGGTAATATGCTTGCCTGGCATGCTTGAAGCCCTTGGTTCCATGCCAGACTTACAAAAGCTGGGTGTGGTGGTTCCCAGTTGTCATCTTAGCACTTAGAAGGTGGAATCAGGAGGATCAGAAGTTCAAGGTCATCCTCTGCTACATTGGGAGTTTGAGTCCAGCATGGGCTATATAAGATCTTGTCTTAAAACAAGCAATATTTTCTTTGTTTGCAGCCTTATGGTCAAAAAATGAGACTGACTATAGAGTTCATTTTGACATTGTGATTCTCTCTCTCTCTCTCTCTCTCTCTCTCTCTCTGTGTGTGTGTGTGTGTGTGTGTGTGTGTGTGTGTGTGTATAGGGGGGAGCAGGGGCTTGGGGGGACTGAGAGCATGCTAAGCTAGTTCTGTCTTCAACTATTCTTTGTCAACTGAGTGTCAGAATGCAGGACTGTCTGTCAGCCTTAGCATCCCATTGTATATTAATCATGTGAATCTTTGTTCCCAGTGTCCTATTGTCCACTTCTTATTGCACTTGAGACTTCTCTAGAATGTAGACAGATAGCCTTAGTTTAGAAGGTGCTGTAGATGACCTTATGCAGAGGTCAGAGCACAGTGTGTTGAAATCTGTTTCCTCTCCTTCTACCATATGAATTCAGGTTGTCAGGCTGAATTTCATGGACTTCCAGGTCTTACTCTTCCTTAACCTGGTGCCTTGCTCCTCCCGCCCTTGACCTTGGACTGGGCTGCGGTTATCTCTGCTCTCTCTTTACATGCTCATGAGTCAGTTCAAAGCCCAACTGGAGAGGCTGAGACACCCGCCTAGGTCCCTGAGCTGCCACTGCAAAGCCAGGATCCCACTGAATCCTAGTAGGCCTTGAATTGCTGTACCCTTCCACCTCTACCCAGACTGTAAAACGAAACAAGCCTTCAGATGGATCGCTGAGTTCCAGCCTAGCCTGATCTACAGAGCCCAGGACAGCCAGGGCTGTTACACAGAGAAATCCTGTCTTGAAAAACAAACAAATAAGAAGGAGACGGAGAAAAAAGCCTCTCACCTGCTCCTGGATGTGTCAATCTGTCCTTCTGCAAAGGGTGCTGATTCCTCTCGGTCCTGAAGGCGTCTACTGCTGCCCTGGGCCTGGGGTTTCAGCTGCTTCCACAGTCCTGGCTCAGTGTCTTTTCACTAAACCAGGATGCTCCCATCTGTCTCCACTGCTCTCAGCGTTATAAAAACACTGATTTGGGGGAACCCCTGTTCAAGAATCTTGGCTCTCTTTGAGAAGTGTGAGAAGGAGCCCCAGATATAAATGCAAGAAGAATGCCTGCCCACCCTCTGGAGACCTGGGTCCACGGGAGCTTAGCTGA